TGAAAACGCCTCTAGACGCGCATGGATTGCCTTGGGACCTTGCACTACAAGGTGTTGCACGCCCTCAGGGCCAAGCAAGGACATCAACTTGTTAAACCCGTCCTGCATGCCCTGGGGCAAAGAGGAAAAATTCTTCATCCTCACAGAGAATCAGTCGAAACGACTCGGTGTTGATTGACTACAAGTGCTACCAAGTGCAGCGGGGCTGCCATCGCTTAGCGCCTGAGAAAGCGTAATTTAGGTAATCGACCTTTCGTTCTATACTTAGAACAAGTATGAGTTACGGATCGCAATCCGCTTACTCCAAGAGTAATTATTGCCTTACCTAAGGACTCTTTCGTTTAAAATTTAAAACTGATTTTTATTTATATTTCTATCCTAATTTTAAAAGTTTAGGTTTTCAAAATATACTAAATATATATCGTAAAATCTAAATACATGCATAACAACTGGCTACCTAGCCACAGGCAGTATTCTTGTTTGGGTGCAGTCACACCATGCACATCTCGTGTGACCCACACTCCTATTACCAGGGTACGTGTAACCCCGTTACAATATATGTGGGTAATTAGGTACACTTTGTTTACGACGCGGAGTCAAGCAGCAATCCTGTGGTCTGAGGTCCACTATACCCGTCGCAAGATAGTGTTTTGTCACATTTGCGATAAGTTGTGTGATGTTCTCAACAAAAAATAGTTAATGCTATATTTTAACCTATTTCAGTACTTTGATGAGCTAGTCAGTACTGTAATTAATTATTTCAAGGTTTTGGTACTTGAATAGGTTGATTTGAGGTCCAACAACATAACCTTAATCATTTAACAAATAAAACACATGACTTCAGATCTAATTTGGTTAAGGTGAAAATTAAATAGGTATTTATTTTGTTATCGATATAACTCAGTGATGCCAATGTTCTGAACCACTGTTCTAGATTCATATATATTAGTTGAGTACAACAGCCAGAGGCTCGAGGTTTGTGTCCAACCATTGCTCAATGATTTCGACAATAAAAAAGATATTTTTGAATTTATTTTCAATGCAACGCTTAATATAAAGTAAGCGCTTAACGTAACATCAGACATTATCACATATCTCCATATTAGAACATACCCACAAAGTCTGTTGCAGATACAGCCTTTTCATTGACTCAGAGAGATGCCAACACTTCATCGAGGTCATCTTAATACACATAATATGATTGCGTGGTTGCATAGGCTGGCTTTGTAGTGGCTGATAAAAATAAGTTGTTTCATATATGGGGATAATTATTTGCACTTTGTTTACGACGCGGAGCCAAGCAGCAATCAAGTAGTCTGAGGTCTACTATGCCCGCCGCCAGATAGTGTTTTATCACATTTGAGGTAAATTGTGTGATGTTCTCAACAAAAAGTAGATGATAATATTTTCAATCTTTTTTCAGTCTTGCAGATCAGCAATTGTGAATTGCATTTAGCAAAAATGTTTTACACCTCCCCAAAAAGGGATCAGATCATTGTGTAAGCTGCATCTGTGCAGAGATAGTGTAACAATATTTCACGTGCCCTGGTTTGAAGGGTGTGAGTTTCACAAGATGATGTGACCACACAATTGTGTGGCTACACTTATACAAGAAGTCTGTACGTGGCTGAAATAGCATTTGATTAGGTTTCACTACATAGATAGAAATAATACAAATTTAGATATAGGCAGCTTTGCCGCAAACAAAACCAAGAAATACAGTTTACGTTTTTAGACGGGTGAGTAAATTAGCTTTCGGTTAAGGTTGTAGTTACTCTTGGAGTAAGTGGATCGCAATCCGCTACACTCGTATTGGTTCTAAGTATAGAATAAGATCACCGACCTTAACCAAGCTTCTTCTATGCGAAATTGCTACGGCAGCCCCGCTGTAGACACAGTAGCTGTATACCTATAATAGAAGAATCAGAGCCATAATAGATCAACTCTTTCACCAACTCTTGATTTTTTCTTTGCAGATCTAAAAGAACTTACACCACTTGCGATATGCCCGAAAAGGCTAGGCAAAGATCCGCGCCATTATCGATTAAATTCTTTCCACATAGGAACGCTTAGTCGTCGCCATTGGAAATTTATCGCGTTGCAGTAGAGAACTTTTTCTTTATTGCTTCGTAGGAAGGGGTATCCATTCCGCCAACGTTTGATCAAGACTTCCATGTCGATTCATCGTTAGCGCTTTTTCGCCACTTTCGCCACTTTCGGTCCTAGGACCGCGACTTATGTGATTCTAGCGGTCGCATCTGAGAACAGTTTCCTAGTAGGCTCGGGTTAGATAAATGAACATTACATGTTGTTCGCGAGTGGACACACACCAGTGGTACGTACAGTCAATGTAGTTTTTACGGTCGACCCAGTTGTTTGATTAACAGTTGGCACGCCTTGATATTAAGAATGCCTCTGCGACTTTAATCGTCCATGTGTGCCTATTCTACAGACTTCTAGTCGTTGGAATGACGTTGAATCCTGTCATGGACGAGGAGCAGCGGAGACGTCTCGCACAGAAATCACCAGGACTCGTCGTTCGTAGTTAAACGTGCTTGAAGACTGAGAATACAACCCCTGCCCGAAAAAAAGTGGGTAAGGATTTCTCACCACTGACATTTGCTTATTTTCAAATAATTTCGAAAATGATTTAACATAAGTAGGTGTTGACGTATAGGCTTATCGGCGACTGAATGATAACGGAACTGTGTTCAACTATTTTTTTAGCACATCTCGATTCTGGAGTCCAACGGTGTAGCTAAGACAAATCGGATCTGGATTGCGATTCATTTCGCGTGAAGCTATGGGGCACTTGCTTGATCAAGTTTCGAGCAGTATACTTGTCGAGTACACACTTTGATCTTAGCAAATGACGTACGTCAATTGAAGATGATAGAGACGAGGTGCACAGACTCCAACTTAAACTCTTGCAACGTACACAATTGGTTTCATATTTAGTGGTGTTCGAGGTCACGAAGATAATATATAAACCAGAATATAAGATATTAGAAAACGACCAAGACGATTGCAAGATACTTAGAGGTAACAAAGATATTAAAGCTTACACTTAAGAGCAGAATAAATTCTGAAAAAAACACACAACCAAAGAAGTGGAGCGAAACTGGTGAAGAAAAGAAAAAAATGCAGCAAGCAAGGATCACATACGATCGGTAACCGATGACGTGATGACCTGGTCGCGCAAAGAAGTAAACTTTATGTTTGGTACGATAGAAACACTATTCTTTGCAGGATATAAAACGTAAATGAGAGGCATATAATCATGAAGTGGATGAACCATGTGATATGACCACAAGCAAGCCAAATTCAAGCGAGTAGAAACGCCAAAAACATCGAGATTGGGGTTCGTCCATTTTTCATCACGATCAAGCATTGAGATGGTTGACTTATGAACTAGGACGTTGAGCTGTTAATCAAGTCACGACTCAGGAGAGAGGAGCAAGAGAAACATTATTTCTCGATTTCTTCAGCATATTCGAGTCAAATCGTTTCGCTTGGAATTGATAGCTGTTACAATCCAGAACATATAATCTGCCAGTACGTAGGATGAAAGTTTTCTGGTGGAAAAAGAAACTTTTCTGGTGGATTCAAGGTAATTAATCTTCTGCAGCTTACGTTCAGACTTCACAAGCATCTATTCAGGAATCACCTATTACATACATCGCTCCAGCAATAGTCACTCAGTCCAGGCACGTTTTATGACTATTGATTCACTTACAAAATCAGTGAGTTTTAGATACAAATGAATCATAAAAAAGATACAAAAAAGATATCTCCCTTCGTGCAAAGGTCTACATGACTTTCTACCTCACGTACACTCCTCTGACTTATGCCCCGTAGAAATGAAAGGACCGTGAGGTCTTCTCAGCCCGTAGAGGAATTTTTCGTAGCAGTAATTGTTAAATTCTACACTATCTAAATAGATTCTGTAATTTCTTGAAAATCCACGATTTTGATTTTTCATATTGTAACGATAGAGCATATACTTCGACTTTTTTTCTCGCAAAAGGTGGCGGGGAATCATTTTCTCGACGTCAAGACTCGACATCAGCGATTTACACCTTCGAAAAACTTCACTACTAGCAGTGCGTACTTCATCATAATTTTAGCTGCTTATCTTGCATGATTTCATTGAGTGTTATAATCTTACCTCCTGGAAAAGCCCAAGAACTTCAGTATCTCGAATGAGTCGCATGCATTTCAATTGGTCTGAGATAAAACGTGTCGACTGCTCGCAATGACACTGAGCAGCTTCAAGCTGTATAACAAGATCATATGAAAAGGTTGTAGAGAAAAATTGCACGTTCAGCAGACATACCGCTTGCCTCCGCTCTGCGATACGAGTCACATTTCCTCTTTGATGCTCCAGCAGTAGCTGTATGAGTAGATTTCCATTTTCATTATCGATTCCAGTCGCTTTTACCAAGTGTTACGACCTTACCGCCCGTTTTGCGTACTCGATGTCTAGCACCAGTTTGGCCCGATCTTCGATAAGTAAGTCAATCCGCTTGAGCTCGGCAATGCGATAATTAATCTTTTCTAGTATTTCCTTTGCCGCTTGATCCTTTGATTACCAATGTTAAAACGTTATAAAGGCATCATAAAGTCTAAAAGCGAATGAAGTTACACGAAACGCTAGTGAGCTATTCTGAATGTTGACACCCAAATCATAATCTTTCGAAACATGCGTTGAGTTGGATAGCAACGTTTCTGATAGATCTAGAAATTCACAATATTAGCTGAACGATTCATCAATAGTTTTTTTAAATAATTGCATCAAACCGACGACGCTTTGCGAATGGTTATGAAGGCTATTACGAATTCTTAATAGTTGCTTCATTTCCAGACGATTGCTTGCTTGAGTCTTATTAAACAACTGATCCCTCGGTGGGTCAGCTAAACGACACGCCACAAGAAAACGCTGCATGAGACGGTTTTTATGGCTTTGTATGCGTTTTATAAAACTTTTCTTCGCATAAAGTACACCATCGTCAATATGTCGAACGTCTTGAATGTGCTCAGACTGGAGATGACTAATGTGTCTTTCGTCTGCTTCGAGAAGTGGACATGAGTCGTTATAGTTTTCCACAGATTGCACACTTCTTTTTCTGGAATAAATTCGATTCGTTTGTAAATGGAGCGTCGAGAAGGACATATCAGCTACGGAAACGATCAACTGTTGCTGTGTTTGAACCTTTTAAAAATTAAGATTTCTTAAACATCTTTTGTTTCTTATTTGACCTCTGAATGTTTAAAACATGATAATAATTTATTGTTGCTTGAATCACAAAATTGAGACATTTGCTGCTAAATTGTTTCATGGGAGCTATCTAATTATCAATCAGATATTATCAACACAATATTACTTTACAGCATATCAATTAATGATTAGAGTTTTCTTCACCTTCAGGTGGCAAAACAGCTCACCTGCGTTATCTTTCTCGCTGCGTATCGTTTAACTTGACTTTGATTCAATAGCAAAGTTATATTGAAATTTTAAATTTTATAGACTTTTTACAATAGAGGTAAATTGCTGATTCTTTTATTTTTAATATAAAGGCCGTTACTTGAACACGTAGATACTGTCAGAATTTGTATCTTACTTAAGCGCTCTCAGTTCCTACAAGACAAATTCAGGAAAGCACACTCTGTCATCTGATATTCTGTTCATTTTAAACTCACTTAAAGCTCGTCCTCTTCATCATCTATGCCAGCGAAAAATTTCTCGAGTGACTGGTCCACTGAGTTTACAAGCTTAGGTTGACGTAACGTCTGAGCACGTTCCAGCAGCGTAAGTAGGTGAACCTTTTGCTTCCACTGCATTAAAGTTTCCTCCAGTTCCATGTTGGCTTTAGTGATGAGCATATCGACAATGCGCGGGTCCTTAACTTCTGCGTGCTCGCGAAACAATGCTTGAACAGCAAGCCGCGCCTCAGACGGCTCCATCGAGATATCATAAAGCGTTAAAACTCGAGGCACCTGTTTAGTGATGTAGCGATACAATGTGACGGCTGGACTAGCCGTGGACGCCGCCGACGCTTTCTCCGCAGCGACACGCAAAGCCATAGGACTTATAAACGTTCCTAAAGGGAGGAGATTACAGTGATTGTGACCACACAGGAAGCATTGCCCCGATACAATGACATGCTTACAATTGGCTATTTATTAGGTCTTAAAGTACTGTATGTTAGATTTAAAACATGGCGTCCATCCTACTTTTATTAAATTTTACTAGAAAGTCTTACAAAGAACTTGAAATTTAACTTTGATTGACATAAGTCCTTATTTCTTCTTTCTCGATGATAGCAACTTTGCACGCTCTTGGATGCGTTTTTCAACTTCTTCCTGAGCCGCTTTGCGCGCCTCAGCCAGCGACATTTTTTGCCTATTGGTTCTGGTGGCTGCTGCTTTCACTTTGCTGGTTCCACGCGGCTTTTTAGGTGTTGGAGAAGGCTTTGCTGCTTCACACATCAAGTATACAGCACATCAATCGATAATGATTAGCATTTTGAAAAAAAAAAACGCATTGTACATACCAGTGCTACATTCAGCCTCGTCCATTTCAACATCTTCTGATCCCCTTCTGGTTAATGGTCGCTTACGTCCGACTTCTATCGTTTCAGCTGGCTGATGTCGACTAGCTTCGATTGCAGCCCGGGCGGCTAACTCAGCTGCATTCGCTGCTTGTTGTGCCGCAATCTCTGCCTGCATACGAGACGCTTGCTCTTGCTGAACTTGAAGTTCCATGTTTGCACGCTCTTTTTCCTTTTGCGCAATCATACACTTCATCTCTTCCAGTTGCCGCTTTAGCTCTTGAGCTTCATCTTTCTTCGTTGCCTCAGAAGTGACTTGAGCCTCTAGTTGACACTTCTGAGTTTCAACCTCTGCGGCCTTGCGCTTCATTTCCTCAAGATCGCGTTTTAAACGCGCAGCCTCTTTCTCCTTCGCCAAACTTTTGAGACGGGCACTTTCCAATGATTTCAGCTGTTCCTCTTGATTTTGTCTTTCCATCTGTATTGACTGCAGCTTCATTTCTTCTACTCGTTGCTGAAGTTCACGCGCTTTCCGTTCCTCTTCTTGCAGCTTGTCGCGAAGTCGCTTTGATTCGTCTTCTTTCTCACCAAGCCACTTCGTATGGTTACTCTTGAGACGGTTGATTTCCGCTTCCTTCTGCTCTGCCGCTCGACGCTCTTGCTCACGCGCACGTCTTTCCTTTTCCGCTAGATCTAATGCCTCTTTCTTTTCAATAGCAAGCCTTAAAACAACAGTCAGCGTCAGCACAAACATGTAGACGACACAATCACAATTGAGTATGAAAACGTCAGAGGAAGCAACGTACTGGTTCAACATCTTTTGGTTATCCACAGCTGCTTTGCAATCACTAGTTAAAATTTCACGCAATCCCTTTGCAGTGAACTGGGTGGCTTCGCGATCAGCAATAGTCGATAAAAACTTGGCAGCGTGCTCTTGTAAAGCGTGACGAAATACCGACTCAATTTGATCATCAGTGGTAGGAAACTCAAGTTTTTGAAGTTGATTTTCAAATGCCTGCGTGACTTCGAGCCTTAACTTTTCGTACTGCTCCATTTCTTGACGCAAGCCAGCATCTTTTTCCAACTGTTGATTGCACTGCAAATATTTATCTGCAAGCTGTGGGTAACAATACACAACATCCATGAGAATATATACAGAAATCAAAGCTCAGAAAATGCTTACATCGTCGCCGAGTTTTTCAAGCGCCTTACTTTTCGCCTCAAGGTCACTCTTTAAAATAGTCCAGCCTTGAAGCTTTTCAGACATCGCTTTCATGACGTGAATAGCTGCACCATCAATAGCCGCCTTAATGTCTTCTACTGCCATCGGGAGCTTCCCCTCAAGGCGATATGTGATTTGCTTGCCTAAGTCTTCTCGAGCTTCATAGCTTACTTCGTGGAGAATCTGGCGCATCTCAATTATGTAACGCCGATTCATATCATCCACTAGTTGTGCCTTGTAGTGTTCAAGATCGGCACGAAAATTCGATACACCAAATTCTTTGACATGACCCGCTTTTCGAATCACTTCACCCATAATTCGTGCGAAAAGTGTCTCAACTTCACTTTGTAGCTTCGTCACCGTCATGGGATGCCTTGCAGAAAATCGCTTATCAAGGTTGTCGTGCATTTCGGACCTCATTCGCACTTTCGCAGCATGCACTGCTTCATTCAGCACACTTGTTGATTGCTGAATTGCTTTGTCATTTGCTACCTCCAGCTTGTCGAAGAGAAGACTTGCACTTTGTCGAATACGATTACATTCAATCTCCAATCCGCGAGCTCCTTGCAGTCCGATTGGAAGTTGCTTTAGGCGTTGCAATTCGCGGTCAAGCAAGTCTGTGCATTCCTGACGAAGGACTGCACCCTTCATTGGAATCTTTGTTCTCTCAATGACTTGGCATTCCTGTCGTAAAGTCTGAAATGCAAGATCCACTTGTTTCGACAAATGAGCAGCGATTTTTTCACTGTTTGCATGTAAAGCAATGGTGATCTCCTTCTCTGCAAATGCATGAAGAGAAGCTCTGATGTCCTTGCGTAATGTGGATGGGAAGGTTTTCATATTCTCGAATGCTTCAGCTATTATGATTGCAACATCTTTATGTAGCATTTTGTCAAACGCATCGCTCGAGAGCAACTCTTCAAGCCCAGCAGCTTCACAATAAGCTGAAATCTCCTTTTCACAGTTTGTCTTTGCAGCTTCGGCCTCTGCTCGTACCATTGACGAGTAAATTGACTCCGGCATAATTACTTGATCGCTATTTAACGTATCAACTAGCGCTGGCATAATTTGTGACAAATACTTTGCTGTCAGCGGTCGTTGATAAAACTTCATCGGTTCCTGTAGTTGACTAGACAAACACTTGCGCAATTCACGCAGCTTCTCTTGAAAAGGCCTTTGCAGTTGATCAAAACGAATCTTGTCTTTTAAATTCGCCGTGTTAGCCACTGGTGCTGGAAAGAGCCAGATATTGATCGATTCAAAAGCCTCAATAAGGTTCACGCGAGCTAAATTGCGCACATTTACTTCGTCACTTCGTCCCTTTTCTTTCTGGAATAAATCTCGATAAACTTCATCAGGTGTCGAGTTGACAAAACTCCAGTCTCGAAACACTCTGGTAAGTTAGAAATACAAAATCATAAGCTATCATTTTGACTTCTCATTGATTAGAAAAATTCCTTACAAATGCAAATGTCCAAACACTTTCGTGTTAGCTCCATCCGCGAGTTCAATGCCCTGTGCCGCACGGGCCAGTACTGCTAACAGATTTAGCATTCTATCGGCTTGCAAACTGTCTTTCCAATTAAAAAGAACGACCTTGGATGCAAGCAGGACAGGCGACACTAGTCGTGAATCATACGTTATATCCCGGTCTCCCTGTCCCTCGGCATCCACAAATCCAATGTGAATGTCTTTACTTTTCTTGGAAGTAATGGCTGAACATCCATTAAAGCCGCTGAACGTACTAAGTGGTACAAAATGACTTGACAGATCAACACCCTGTGTACAAGGTTCGCGAAGATTGGAGATCTTGAAAAGATCCTGCTGATCAGCCAAAAGATTCATAAGAAAGGACTTGCCCTGTCGAGCAGCCCCAAATATTGAAATAAGATTAATCGTTGTGTCTCCTAGCGGCTGAAGCACTTGACTTGAGGCTTCGGAACTAATAAACATTTGATCGCTTTTGCCAGCTCTGTTCGCGCCCATGCCCAACCATTTGACAGCCTGTACGGATTCTAAGAGGAAATTTACCAAGAGAAAAGCATCAAGACCTTGCGCACCTTTGTTTGTGATGCCTCGCCGCTAAAGAACATGCTTTTAAGCGTTTCCATTGAGTCCGAAAACAATGTCCAAAGGATCGAAGAAAACGGATGATTAGATCAAGTCCTATCGGAAATATATCACTTCGGATGACTACGTTTTACTCCTAGGTTTTGTGTCTTACCCTCTAAATACAGCTTAACAGTAACATTTAAATATTCTCTCATACTCCAGAACTAAATTTTAATGAATAAAACAATGTTTCGTAGCAAGAAAAAAAATGTCGGTGGTCGCAAGCGGCGTGACGTGGGTGCGGACAACCAGGTTTCCGCTGCATTTGACGATATCAAGAAGTCACATAGTGATGAAAACTTAACTCTTGGTGACTCTGAAGCGATTAGAAGTGATCTTCACGTGCTAGAGAATCTACGTCACACTCGTTCTCGTGCTACTAAAACCACAATGACATTTAGCTCGAAAAGTATGAGTGCGGAAGCAAGTCGAGGGTCTATCTATAGTGGTGAAGTTTCTGCAGAGATAAATGGACTGTTAAGTTTTGCTGATGAAGAGCATTCAGAAAAGAAGAAGCAAAAGAAGAGAAAGATGCGACCTAATTTAGTGGCATCGAGCACTGTAAATGGGGAGATGGAAGAGGATCCACCGCGTCAATATTCAGCTGAAATGTTGTCATCATTGCGTAACGAGCAGAGTGTAACCAATAACGAGTTACAAATGGATGTAAAGATGCACGAGGTTGAACAAGAAAGTGAAGCAGAGATGGAGCATCAGATGTTAGAAGAGGAAGAAGAGGATTTCATTGCACTTGATAAAGGAAATAAAAAGACGCGACATAGCACAAATCGTGTGACTTTTGGCGAGCAATTGAACGATGAAGAGATCCCAAACATGGAAATTACAGAGGAATTGTCGGAGGAGGAGGATCAAAATATTAAATGGGAAGAAGAGCTGATGCGCCGTGGTGGACATGGCGTGTCGTCTGCGCTAGAGTCTAAAGAATGTCATTCCTTACCTATTTATCCCACAAGAAAAAAGGTGACATGTGTGACGCTGGGTAGTGTGCTTGGTAAGCTGGAAAGAAATCTTGAGACGTCAAAAGCAGAAAGCGAGCGTGTTTCGCGTGAGCTTGTGCGCCTGAAAGCTGAAAAAGCGTTGATTGAGACGACAGTAGAGAAGCAGAAAGAAGAACTTGCTGTTAGTAGTAAAGAATTTGAATATTTTCAGAAAATTGAAGACTTTGTTAAAGGCTTAAGCTTTTGCTTGCGTGAGAAGCTGCCTGTGATACAAGCAAACGAAAAACGAATTTTAGACGAGCGCGTGAAACAAGTAAAGACATGTCGAGAAGAGGAGAATCATGGTATTCAGGAAGATCTTAACTTGTTTTTGCACTCGGGAGTGCTGCAGCAAAGCGATATTTTTGGCCTAAATCACGTCGATTTGCTCGTCAATGGTGACGCTGCATCCAATGACACAAAGCATGCCGAACGTATGCACAAGTATCGACAGCATTATATCGAGACCGACAAAGCTGATCCACGTAACGAAGAACAAGATTTTTTTGCTGATACGATTGATGAACTCAACTCAATTGAACGGGTGTATGGACAATTTCAAGAGTGGAAAGCTACGTTCCCAGAAGTATACGAAAGCACATACTGCGAGCTAGCACAAGAGAAGCTGCTTGCTCCGTATGTTAAGGCGGAGCTACTTTATTGGGATCCACTGCGTTCGGCCAGCGCTGAATCAAAAAAGTCAATTGACGAGTTCTCGTGGTTTCGTGTCCTGAAACAGCATGTGCATCAACCCAGTCAGAATCACGATACTATGGATGGTCTGATTATTTATCAAGTTCGCGATGTCTTACTTAAAAAAGTGATTGATGCAGTATCGAGCTATTTTGATCCATACTCGAGTCTTCAAGTACGTAGTCTGTTACAGGTGCTGGATGATGTTCGACGATATGGGTTTTCTGTTTACGTCGAAGATGCACTAAATACGATCATCAAAGCTGCACTAGAATCCTTTTCGCGTGCTGCGAATTGCACAGTGCTTGTTGCCATCGACCAAAACATTGCCACGTCTCACGACAATGTCAACGTTTTAGCTCGTTATCTGTTGGAGCGATTTAATACGTTACTGGACAATCTTCTAGACCTCTTTGTTGGTCTTCCTAAAGGACCGATTGCAAGTGCAGGTTTTCGCTGCTTGCTGAAACGACTTCATCAGCTCCTTGCGTACGTTCAATTTTGCCAAAAAAGTGAAAAAATGCAGCAAATTGCAACAGCTACTCAGGTTGTAAGACAACTATCTGGATCATCCTACTTACATCAGTTATTATCAGAACCCAGTCAGGAACGCGAATTAAAGCACATCATGACGCTATTTACTCCATTTTTACACATCTCTGGCAGCGAGTTTGAATAAACATGTCATGAATGTTGTATCTTTCCAGCATTTGTTTGGCAACTTTGCAGCAATGGTGGTCTTCGCTTCAGTCAAACTTCTCGTTTTCTTGTCGCCAACACATGTCAAGTGATAGCACGCTCAAAGAATGGCGAGCAGCGTTATGATACTAGATTCATTAATTCCAATGGCCTTGTGCGGGTGAGTAACGCGACTATGAGGTTGCACAGCTAGTTCGCCCGATTGCAGGTGAACTTAGCACATGACCACCGAGTAAAAGGGAATGTAGAGTCTCAACTTGTACAAGTGGTGCCTTAATGCAGAGTTTCTCGGTAAATTTTACACCCAGCTTCTTGATGGTGTCCTAAGCATATATTTAATTACCAGGGCGACAGACTGATGCCTTCTTAGATCTGGAAAATCACATACTCATGACGTTCTCTTTAAGCGTTGACAGCTAGGTGGTGGACGAATGTACTCAGGCCGAAGTGCTATCGACAGTGTGGTAGCAGCTCGCTTACTAGCGCACAGTAGCCGGCAAATCGAACACTAGAGTCATTGACGCCACCGTCAGTTATGAAAAAATTTTGCAGCTGTGCGGCCCAAAATGTTGCTGAAGTAGACGATTGACCAGAGCATCGAAGGTCTATGCATTCACGATAAGAATAAACTTGAATTTGGTGTACAAAGGACATTATGATTGGGAAGGTTGAGCTGCGAGGTTGGTCATTTGCTTTGAGATAATTACAGCAGGGCAGTCAGCAGGTCCAGTGTAGGAATATACTTAAATTGCAGATTGTTGGAATTCGCTATACAACCTACAAATTTTACAATAGGCCCAGTAACAAAAAAATCTACTTAAATGAAAAGGATCGTCCAATCATAATTTATGGGTATACCATTAGCCCAGTTTTTGTAGGATAGAATTGTCGCTCTTCCTAAATCTGCACTCTGGACTCAGAGATGCCTTCTTGTGTCAAATTTGATACGTCTAGACGCTATCTTTCTTCTGGTAAAAGAAACAACACTTCAAATCCTCTTATATACCATAAAATAAGAGAGCTGACACAGGGATGACGTTGCCAGTAGCTGTCCAACAGCTCAGTCGCCTTCATGTTGGCACGATATCGTCAAGACTTCAAGGGCGCATAAACCTGCTGTGTTTCGTAGTCCAGTTGAGCGGTCACATCCAATTTGATTCTGACACATATCAACGTAAAGCTGTCGAGGCTTACAAAATTATATACGACGAAATGACATGGCTTGTTTTAGGCTTGGGTATCACTGGCTGTAGAAGCTTGCGCCGGAAATAGCCATCTTGCACTCGCAAGCAGTTTGGACTGTCAGATCCTGTTCTCTGTGAGATCATTTCTGAATAAAGGCCACCAGTACATGGCTTTCGACGAGCAGTATGTCTTGTCTATACCAAGATGGCCATCAAGGGTGTGTCATGTGCCTTGTATCATCCTGAAGTGCCAGCGCATGCTGAGTGTCGAGTGGGTCATTGCTGTAATGCGACAAGCATCAAGACATTTTATGATGCAGATGTGCATTCAAACGTGACATTCAGGTCCAAAAACTCTTTATTTCAAAGCTTTCAGTAATGCAGCAAACACTGCTTCTAACTAATACGATAGTATGAATCGCCTCATCAATGCGCGAGGTCAACATCGTGCATGCAATAACTTATAGCTTGGGCGACGCAAGAGCGTATCAGCCACCGCATTAAGCCGACCTAGATTATATTTTTAAATACTTATAAACACTTAAAAGCTTTATGTTACGTGTAGAGTGTTTCGTGTACCAAGTATAGAAGCACTCTTGTTTAAATAATCGTGTATGAACTAACAAATATTTATATTCACGAAGAAGTTGTAAGGATCAGTTTGACCCAAAGACTTGACCTTGGGTAGTTGCCCGCCGACCCGAGCCAGTTTAAAGATCAAGAATGATAAACAGCACCAGCGTGTGGGTGGATCACGACGCAGGACCCGATCGTAAGAGACAGAAATTACTATCTGATTGTCATGCGTGGATTGTTTCGCACAAACTATAGCTAGTATGCTTCGTTTTCGTTTCATTCGCAACAGTATTGATTCGGTAGCAAACTTTGACATTATATTTCACTTCTGCATTATCAAAGCACAGATCGCCATACTTATCTGTCATACGCCGGCTTTCTTCAGTGGGAAAAACATGCCGATGATGGTAAGACTTCAAAATTGATGGAGATCGCGAAGTCAAACAAAAAAAACGTATTGCAGTCAATACTAAAGATTAAGCTTTCACAGCTACTAACTGGCCTTGTGAATCATGTATACCGCATGGAGACGACATCGGATCGACATGAGAGACCAATATTGAGCCTGATAGCTGCAACGATGCCAGTGCTGAAGGAAACGCTGCTCAAAAGGAGATCTTCAGTGATTTTTAAATTAAGGGGCGCTGGAGCAGCTCGCGCAGTGCGACGACTACTAGACTTATTAACTGCCAAGATCACGCCAGTGTCAAGCAAAGGTTCCTTCGGTGCAGTGATTAGCGGTAAGCAAACACTGCCTCTGCAACAGAGTTGCTGTTGACTTTCAATGTCCGCGGTATCAAAGGGATAGTGAATGGGTACGTGCCATCCCGGTCGAACCGAGAGCCTCTAACTGACTAAACACGACAAGTTAAAATGGCTATCGACTCGGCACTACATCAAACTTAGGGTCAATGCATCGCGCTAACAAATTCTAAGCTTAGAGGTCGGACACAAATAAGCACTATGTGTGGTCACAATAATAAGAATCAAGCTGGGGGGTATACAAAAGACAAATATCGCGAGTCTTTGCACCCCTGATATAAGCTTACCGCATGTAGTCTAAGCAATATTTACGTGTCACAGAATGAAGATATTCTTGGACAACGTTTAAGCGTGAAAGGCTCTGAAATTCCGGCTGGCTTTCTTAGCTAATTTTTACGTGCCAAGAAGTGGAGAAATTATTGGGCAACATTCAATCATTAGAGGTATTGTAGCTCAGCCTCAGATTTATAGAGATACTCTACACAAAGTCAGCCATCAAGAAAACCATCCGCGTATATAAACTTCTGGCTTAAGCGTTAATTCACAAGGGTCTTGCGAGATTGGGATGTGTTAGCGCAGCAGAGGGGACGAGTCTCAGTTTAGCTGAGTGACCTCTAAGCTGCTAGGCAGCACCTTGGTGTCAACAGGAGCTACTCGGGCGAAACAGCTAAGACTTTCGCCATACCTGATCGTAGTATCTAGCTTATAAGAGTGTGCAGCTCCTTGAACAATTTGAAGCCACGTAATTTGCCATAAAAATTATGCTGTGCTGTATAATACCACAGCCAACCCGGGTGTCGTGCCACTATGTACAACGCACTAAAGGCCGCAATCAGTAATCGCTCCCATAGAGGCTCCAGCACTGAGATTGCGCTCTTGAACTATTCATCAAGAATTGCGTTACTCTGGCTTTGGTGGAAGCAAAATCGGTTTCTTCCGTGAGAGTGCTTAAGATAAGATTCAAGTCCTCCGAGGGCAAGGACAAATACGATTTGTCGCTGGCTGGGTGAATGAGATGACCATTACTTCGGATATGCTGCAGACGGAACAAAAGCAGATCCAGATAGCAGTCTCTAAGATATAAGGCCGCGCGCAAGAATTGAGATTATGTACAATCAATAGGTGAAAAGGGGCTATTCCGACGTGGAAATGCTTAAGATGACATGCGTAGTGGTTGATTGCATCTCCTTACCAGGTGTCTTCAATTCTTGCTCAATCAGCAACGAAGGCGTAAATGAGCGGGATATGTTTAAGAGATACGATATCTAGTTGCAGTAGAGGCGGTGGACTTCCTTCATGGGCGGTGACAGTTACTACCGTCATTTCGAATCTCCACATATTTGCGGCTCGCACTGAAATCTTCCGTGCCATTCAACATCATCCAATGATCGACAGCGCGATTTAGTGCCGCAAGAATTAAAAGTTAAAAAATGGGTGTATACTTTCTGACCTCATCTAAGTCGACGGACATCAGCCATGTTCAGGAGAAAGAACTACCTTTGTAGAACAGCGTGGAGCTTGCAGATGTTACATATCAAACATATGTTTCATGCATAGTCTCTTCTCTCTCGGTAGAGAGGTGTGAGGTGTGGGCTCCTATGCAGGTTCGATCCACTGTTCCTTTGATGAAAATGTCGATTCTCAAAATGCGCAGGGCAGAATATAGGAAAGTTAACCCTCACAGATCGACATCAAGGGGGCCCAGCCTAAAAAGCAACTCTCTCTAAAAAAGCGAGGAAGCTCACAGCCCAAGGTTGTTGGCTGTCAGCAACAATGGCATTTAAATTAAGATTGGCCTAAGCTGGTATAGCTTCGGTACTGACCATGCGTTTTTTGTCTGACTGGGTGAGCAAAGTTTTTGTCGGGTGCCTTGAGTAGAGTTGGAAAGTGGAAGCGGCAATGTGAAGTGGACTTGAGCGAAGTTAAAAAACTTTGAACATTTTCGCGATTTTTAAAAAGCATTCATGCTGAAACAAAAATGGAGTATATCGCAGTCTCCAGAATTTGTCGATACTGAAATAGAGACGATAATGTGTAGACTTTTAAAAATATCCTCGTTAAAACCAAAGAGTTGTTGCAGATAAAGATTTGCAAGATGGTAAGAGTGCGGTGGATACAAATGGAAGAGATGCGCTCTTCAGCTGTAACAATTGAGTACATGCTCGCAGAGCACAGAGTACAAAACGATTGGAACAGCAAATCTCAAGGATCCTACGGATCTTTAGATTTTTTGTTGAGAGAATATCATGATGTAAAGAAAAGATATCCAGTTGATCTGATGCCCACATAACCCGTAGTAGTCTCAATATATATTTGTACATGCGTAATGAGCGACTGCCAGAGTCTCATGTGTTCACGGCAACGCAAAATTTGAGAGGATTCGCGAAAGCATATAGACGAAGATGCTTGAATGGATAAAGATGAAGAAGAGGATAACCAATACCAGATATGGAATTATTGCAAGAACCTAACCTTCACACCACCGCAGGACAAGAGGAGTCAAAACCGCAACGGAAACGAGCATAGCGAGTGACGAAAACGGAAATAAAAGCGACCGGCGTTTTCATGTTATCTGTGACGAACTGTCCATTGCCATGGGCTTAGTAAATTTTGACGCAAAAGCCAATGGGCATGACCGCGTAACTGCGTTTGAGTCCCGTCAACAAAAGGCGGCTAGAAGGATTATCCAGCTCATTGCAAGGCGCAATTTTTAATATTATTAATGAAGTATCATAGTGTCAAGTTCAGGGTAAACGTGCCTGACTCTTGTCATTTAAGATCTGCAAAGATCAAGCGTTGGCGCTAAAAGCGACGTCGTCGGAATCTATTTCTAGGAATATGGATAGATGGTCACCACTTTTACCGAATATACGCATAAAAGTCGGTTTTCCTTAAAGGTTTGAAGGAAAGCCCTTGTGTCGTCCAGACTACAGCCTATCGCCTGTCCTGATGATGATTTAGCTAAGGCGACAAGTACCGCAAACGGGTCAAATGCAAGTAGTGTTGAGTTGCTGCAGTATTAAAAAGGAGGAAAGATCAGACTCAGACTCAAACACCGCATTATCCAAGCGCGTTGTTGCATGGCTGCACCGTATGCCTTTTCTACAGGCTACAGCACTAATCCACACAACACATGGCGTATAGTAGTACCGTGACTCCAAGATCAGAATACTGTACAAGGCACATGATACCCCGTTGGGTCGCTGATCACCTTGGAAAAGTGCATACGTAGCACTATGTAATGAGTCCCATCTGTAAGGCACGTTTGTGCGCGCGTGCGAATAGCATCAGCGAGTTAAGCGCTGCATCCACGCTAGCTTGCCGATCCGACATAGCGTTAGCACTGCATCAGTATAGACAACATATTGATCTCAAAAAAACGTGTTCATAAAACTTGAAATTGTAGTCGACTTAGTAAATAAGCTTGCTTTGCTAATCTCAGCAGCATAAATGGACGCCGCCGAGCTGATTTTTACAAAGTTATTTGCCAACATGCATTGTATCGAATAGCAATTCGTAAGCTGACAGGGAAGAATTTCTCGTTAGTTATGCTGCAAATTCCAATGCTTGCACTAACTTATAAGTTATGGTGACTGGCCTAAGTGGTTTGACATCATTATGTTAGACGCAAAGTTGTGAGTTCAATTCCCACTAAGGATGGTTAGTGCGTGCTCAACCTTTATGGTTAAGACTGCATATGTCTGCGTATTAAAGTGTGTGCTTATCTTCGGTTTGCGCAAAGACTGAATTAGAGTGCTCCACATTCCTTAGGATGGGTTGGTAACTAAACTTAGGTTTAGTATATTGTGTGGCCCGCAAGGCAGTTGCGCGTGGGCTCACACAATTGCGTGCTAGCGCGCCTAGCATTAATACACTCAATTCTGCATTTGCACACGCAAGCACACATCACTTCTACCTCTGCCCTTCCCATAAATCTATACTGCCGAACTTCTAAGATATTAGGCGCTCGATTTGTTCCGTCCACTTATCACCATTCGCACAGGAATGACCAGCTGAGACGCGTTTGTCGTATCATAAAGGATGTCATCCGGATATTGACGCAAAGAGATCGATGTGCTAGAGCAAATTATTCTCACTTGTCATCTTTAAGTTAAATATCAAAGTAGATATCCGTAATGACTTTACCGGCTTTTTTCGATGAATTGGTTTGCAATATGCTCATTTGATGATTCCAAGAAGTGGCTGCAATTGTGGTTCGAGAGGGGGGCTTGGTAGGATCCAGTTGACAAATGCCTGGCTAAACTTCGTAGCAACTTTCGGATTTATCAAAACATGATTAAACATCATGCGCAAGGTACGCAAGGTACGCAAAGCAATGGCTAAGAGCTAACATAAACAAAAACAACATGGAGAAGCCAGATATATACGGACAAAATGAATATGATTCGGGTAATAGGCCGAATTGGGTGCCATTAATTTCAATGTCAGAAATATGTAAGACCGAGCTACAACCCGCCACTAACAATCGTAGCGAAAAAAAGATCAAGATATTTTTAAACTTCGAAGAGATTGCAAAAAAGTAGCAGCACAATGCGGTTTTTGCCACGGGTTAGGCCCGGCCATGTTTCAAGTTTGAGAGTCGATCGGTAGCTGTATCAGCAGGCTCAAGGAGATGAGGAGGGCTTTTGGCAACAATAACTTGATGTGATGATTCGTTACCTAGACACCTACGCCATGATTTGTACGTTGCAAAGCCAAGCATTGAACAACGCATCAGTCGAACGTCTGCCACACTGAAACTGCAATGTGAAGCTATAAGGTGGGTAAAGCGACATGTCACCCTCACCCAGTGTATTTGTTAAGAACATAGATCGTCGGCACTTTGCATTAAGTACCTAAGGTACGGCCTTCGTGTAAAGCACGAATCTTTCCGACTGCTACTGATCCAGACGCAGGCGATACTCCGGATAATCAGCGATCTGTAAGACCAGGCGGCGCTCTTCTAGCTCCCTGTTTGAGCGGAAGACCAGCACGCATAGTCTTGCGAGGTTAGAAAAAGGTGCTGGATAAAATCTACCTCCAGGGCATGATTCAATTTGCGAAATCCACTGCAACTGACTGGCAAGCTCGGATTGCTGAGTCATGTTCAGTTTATCGATGAAGAGAACATTGTCGTTGGCTCTATGGCGGGGTGTGTAGATAGTTTCCCCTTAGAGTTCACGCATGGATTCAGCATATCGTGCACAAAAGTAGCGGGGCGTAATGACTGAATTTTTCTTAGTATCCAGAGCTGCCGTGTAACCCTCGCTGAATAAAAATGTGTCGGTTTGAGATATAAGGAGTAACTATGACCGATATCATCGGAAAAATTCTTGACCTCCTCGCCAAGAATGGCTCAAACATCGTCGGCCGCGACGTTCTTATGGGTAATTAAGCCACATAAACACGCTACGAAGATAAATCATCATGCGGATATGGCTCATAACAGTGGAGTTGTAGGGTGCAAGTGGTAAAGTAAGGGTATTGGATAGATTTTGAGCGTATACTTATGCGCGATGTCTAAAGACAAACCAAGTGTGAGTCTTAAACTTGGCCCATAGATTGGTGAAAGCGTAGCGTGTACGTACCGTTACATAGTGTACGTACAGATCATAATTATTGTACTAAGCTAGAATTTCTGGAACTGATGAGGACAATATGGCTCAGTAACGACAAGGTTCATGGTAACTTAACAAAGCATTGACACTACGTTGTGACTACATTTATCACTAGCTGACGAATATGTACATTATCAAGCACATCAGCTGAAACAATTGGGATTTTCCTCATTTCTGATCTATGATAACTTTGAATTGTGTGCTTTTTAAGATACACACTCCTTAAATGCTTCTTGAAAGTGCAATGTTAGCGGCTAGCTACTCATGGTATCAATTCCGCGCTCACGTCGGCAAGGTGACTACTACAAATAATGAAATCAAGTAGAAAGAGTTGGAATCATCTATCAAAATGACTTTCCGTATATTTTCGCTAGTAAGACGATGAGTATGTTTGGGGCTGTATACATTTGAAAGCTTGCAAACATCGGCGCCGGCCAAATGAGTCGATTGAGCAAGGTATTCGCCACGTTTAGGACCACTGAGGACCAACATGTTTGAGATCAGTTCAGTACAATCGGAGTCGTTGAGGTTGACGTTCCTCACCTTTATGAAGGTATGACAGGTGACCTCCGATTCTGACTTCATGAGGCTTATTCTGCTATTAAGTTTGCATGATCGCCAATGAAAGACATTGAGTCTTTTACACCATGCTTGATTGAAAAAAGGACAAAGCAACGTGTCCGGCGGTTTTTCTGCTACGTTCTATAAAAATGTACATAACCGCAGATTATGAAACTGGCCAGCGTGTTCCAACCCAAATGTAACTCCTCCAGGTGCAGGTCTTGACTTGAAGAAGGCGATGCAGATTGCGATAGGGAATGCACTGTAATTAGAACGATTCGAAGGACATAGGGTGCCCACATTAGCAGCCATGATGTTGATTACGGATGAATTAAAATGTGCCAAGGCTATGTATTATAATAAGAGTACAGAATACGCCTCGGCTATAGCCATCGACACGAGCAAAAAGGGTGTACTTTAGCTCAATGAGGGCTCGTGAAGTCGATTACTATAGCCACGCGCTAGTGACCAGCGGGACTGAGCTCTCTGAAGTAAAGCTAAAAGTCACGCGCTATAGGGACTTGACCCTGGATAACTTTGGAGGATTTGTAGGAGTATAGTGCAAAGGTAGGCTGCTCGTAGTTCGCAAGGTAAAGTGTCAGGGGGTGAGCGCCCCTCGTGCCAGAGGAATTCGCGTGTCTACAGGAACTTACTCGGACGCGTGGCAGTTTTTTTGATGATTCGAGTGAGAGCAAGTAACTCAGATAGTCTCGGTAAAACTGGCACATTATACTGTGCTAATTTATCTGAAGTGTCGGTAAAGGTCGAAGAATATGACAGTCTGTAGCATTTTGGACCTCAACACGGATAGTTCCGACTGCTTCTGTGCATTACGAACACGAGCTCGGATCAATCGGCGCCGAAGGCAATTTGTGGCTGTCCTGATTGCTCTGACAGTGTGTTGATGATAAAGTCACCATTAATCTGCAAGACAAGCTATCTGAAGGTCGAGAGCACTCAAACAAGCAGCTAGTGGCCTTCCACTAAGCTGCTTTGACATTATTGTTGCTGCTAAGCTGCCCTATGTGCGACAAGAGGGCGACTTTGCTGTACAGAAATGATCTTCACATAATACTAAACCGAGTATGTGGGTGTATACTCTAAAATTGTTTGCCATTATGTTAGATTGCGCCTCATCAAGTTGCCCTGAACTTTTAGTTCTCTCTAAAGACTTCAAAACAGCTCTGAGCTCGATGCCTAATTTCCTTAGGAATTGACCCACAAATATTCAGATTATTTATAGGAATATTTGTAGATTGTGAACATGCATAAATTTTATAAAATCATTCTTTGTGAAATTAAGTTTTCCTGTAAACATTATATTTATAAGATTTACATTGCAGTGTGGAATTTGAGCTTATTTTAGTGTCAGGTTTGGACAAAACAGAATTATATAAGTTTAGTATCAACTCTTGGTACGTCGCGCGTTTCCATTGTACAAAATTCAAATTCTTAAGCTTAACTTGATCCGGACAGAAAGGAAAATATTAAAGCGAAGAAAGTTTTCGTGAAATCTGTCAGTAATCTTGCTCGTCCACTTGCCACTTTACAATGTCGTTCATTCAATAATTAACATCGACACGACAACCTCATGATAATTTCATGTTGCATGAAAAGAAGCACCAGATGGACGCAATGACCAAATTGATCTGAAAGTGGTATAGAGAAGAACATATGGGGTGATCTGTTTCTTCATGTCGTTCAGCAAATGTGCTTATATGAGATGGCAAGTATTGGCATACTGTACATTTTGGGCCTTTTGTTCATAGTAAGTGTATTCATTTGCTTGTGAATTTAGTTCAACAAATGTGTTTCCATGTGCTTTGCGTCAAATGTGTTCGCAAATCAACAGTGACAATTGGATCTGTCAACAAATATCCTCAATGACGAAAAGAGTCAAAAGTGCTATAAACCAGCACGTAGCTAGCTAGACGTCGATTCTAAGACATCTAAAGAGACATCGGACTCAACTGATAGCCAACTTAAATAATTCCAATTCAATTAGTTACATTGGTACCACCCTAGCTGTGACGTCATCATTGAGAAAGAGACTCTTACTATTTCGTGGATGCTCAAGCCTAAAAACGATCATTTTCTGGCATAACCTATACATTAAAAGTGGCATGAAGTGCTTAAAAGTGTCACCACATTTAAAGCATGTAAGTCGATGATGGAGCCATACAATATCAAAATAGTAACAAAGCTACATGTGTTTTCCGAGCGACGCTACTACCAAAACGTACCAGAATTTAGACAAAAATATCTAATACGTACCATGAAACGGCGAAAAGCCACGACGTCGCCAGCTGAACCAGGAGAATATGCTGCGTTAATTGTCAAATTTTTACAATCTGTCTCAAACTTACGTCTTTCAATAGAATCACGTCGTAAGAAGATATTGTTCAATACAATCTATAGACTTGTCGGATACTGTATCTTTTTCGGCTGACAAGAATCCGTAGATTCGCAGCAAAGTTCATGCACTTATCATTTACGTCATATACAAAACGGACATGCTGGCTCGTTCTATACAAATATTAAATAAAAGCGACCAAATCCGAATAGATTCCACCAGACGTCGTCATTCTGCCGTTTTCTTTAAAGTCAGCAGTACCCCTTGCGATTCCTCTGCCTCGTGGTTACGTAGTCTAAAGCACAATCTGCTATGCCTGTCACCAATACTTCATTTGCATTGCCATCGCATGTTCTCGAGGACACGGACTGGAAGCTACAGCGCAAGCTAAAGCATCACCACCGTGACGCTGGCCGACGAATGACCGAAAATCGGGCTGAGCCACGTTTTAAGCATCACGGTCATCACCAGCGACGCGCAAACTCCAAACGTCATGAGGTAGATGTATGGTTACCTCAGCCTGCCAAAAACACACACAGTAGCTATTCCGATCAACTGCCGCACCAGGTGACTGCATCGACCAATCGTGCATCGCAACTTAGTCGATCGGGACCGTCTGCAACGTCATGGCCACCATCATGGACTTCTGTAGCAGAAACCATGGACTTGCAAACGTTCGCATCTTCAGCACCGTCAATTGCGTACATCGGAATGCAAGACGAAAACAGACGTGAGATACGACCCATGACTCTCTTCGAAAGCGCGCGTATCTTTAACGAATCGGGTGAATTACTCAGCCACGACAACTTTGATGAGCTAGAATTAGCCTCGAAATCGATTGCTGATAGCACCCCAAAGCGCAAGATGAAGCGCCGCGTAGGGCGTCGCAAACACGAGACTAAGCGCATGGTAGACGTTCTCAGTATCGACGAAGTAGTGCTTGAGCTTATGTGTCTGCTCTTTCCCGACATTGAAGTCACGCAAGAACTAAATCTTCTTTTTCTCGGTGGTGCTCAGCATGAAGATGTTTTTCATTTTGATGAAGACGAAGATATTGGCACTCCAGCTTTCAAACCAAAATCTAGCGTCCTAGACGTTGATTTATTACAATTTCAGGCCGCGCTTACGAAAATGCTATTTAATTCCTTCACCTTGATACAGCAGATGCTAGCACGTGGATCTACTGCAGAGACTCTTCAGAGGATGTTAATTACGCCACAATGGATTGCACGAGAGATGCTGGTTATGGTAAAACTGGATCTTCGAGCTCAATACGATCGATTTGCAGTCATCAGTGCGATCTTCCGCATGATTTCAGCTCTACGTCCTTGTATTTTGGCTGCTGCAACGGCAACTTCACTGGCGATTTACGAGCACCAAAGTCTAATAAATCTAGATCCGGGCAGTGACGGCAAGGAACTTATTACCGTAAAAGGTATGCTTGCATTTTTAAATGCAGCAATGGATATCATCGAACGGGATGCGCGATACAATGTCGATGTGTTCGGCAGCACTGATATCGAAGTTCGTGATGCTATTAGTGATATGTGTAGTCAGATAACTCGTGCAATCCGCTTACTTGTTCGTAGCTCACCGGGAGGGAATGGAATCTCTGATGCAAATCGCAACCAGCTTGAAAAGTATGCGGAATGTAGCGAATCTGCTGAGGCCACGACTTACCGCGCAATGGGAGAGCTACTAAATCGAATGACGTTCTTTTTTCCCAAGCACGGAGAGAATTTTCTGCGCTGGATGATGCTCAAATGGCCACAGCGCAATGTGCAGTTGCAATTATTCTTTGTGCGATTTACAATTGGTTTACTGACACAGTTTATGGTGCTTGGCCTCATGTTGCCTGCTGACGTCATACGCTCTACTTTCACGCGTATGGAAGCTTGTATTCAATCGATGCATTTTCTTGTGGCTCAAGAGGCGTGCCTCATGTGTGGAAACTTCCAGCTCATGAGTATGTATTTGTCGCGTGACCGAATCCTTCGCGAAAAGATCGCGTCTGCGCTGCATACGAATGTTACTTCTCACTGGAACAAGCGTATCCGAGAAATTTCTGATGAGTACTTCGACATGCTGCTCGATCTAGCATGAACTTAGATAGTGAAATAGATCTTTAAGATAAAGTAAAGTTTTTTTGCAAATTTCAACTTTTAACATGTAGAAGTTATTACTATTTTATTGTGGGTATCTTACTAAGAAAGTAAGTATGTACTACAAATATACCTAAGAAACAAGAGCAGTATAAAATTTGGAGAGTATTTAATTAATATGTCTCCGCTTCGTTATAATCTGCCCTCTGCACGATTGCGGCAATGACAACATAATACACAAGTTCAAATATATCAAAATCTATGATGCGAATACAGTAAAACCTGTCTAAATTAAACATGTTGGGACTGGGGGACAGTGTTTAATGCAGAGCGGTTTTTAAATCAAACAAGTTTAATTTAGACAGGTTCTCCTGTGCCTAACATGGGTCCATATCTCTTGTTCAATTTAGAGAGGGTTTAAAATCAAACAGGTTTGATTTAGACAGATTCTACCGTATTTATACTTTGTGCCCCAGGTTTTGTAAAAAATCGCCTGTTCTCATATATATTAGTGCTATCAATATATCAGGTACAGAGAACAGGAGTGAGAAAAAGAGTAATCTAAGGTGATTTCCAATTTTATGGCGTATTGGGATGCACTCGCCGATGATCTGTCGCGCACGTTCGTTAGCATCGAGACCGACTTGCGATTTCGGACTACATTACTAAGACAACAATGCGAGAGGCTCCAAAGTATTTGCAATTATATTCAAGAGTTGGATACCGCACACTGTGAGGAAAAAGCATTGCGACAAACCGAGATGGTGGCTGTGGAGCAGTCGATTCAAGACGCTATTCAGCGTGCGCGTCAAATTCGAACGGAACATGCGGCTAATGGCGACAGCAGCAACGAAAAAAGGAAAGCGGAATCACACTCCAGAGAGCAATTACAGAACATTTTGGCGATTGCAAAGGCAACTCAATCGGTCCAGCGGATAAGGCAGCTACCGGAGACCCGGCCGAGAGCTCGACTGATATATCCACGCGAGTTGAAAGCTTTAGAAAAACAGCTGCATGATCTCCAAGAAAAGGAGCGCGAATCATCGATGCGATTTGCATTTTGCTGTAAGATGAACGAATACTTGTCGTTGAGTCCTGCAAGACGACAATTTGTCGTGAACCAAAAGCACAAGCTTGGGCGTCATGAAATACCAGTTGCTCGTATTCAAACATCGTTTCCTTGTCAGATGGCAAGCCTTCAGCACGCATATCAAAAATTGCATGAATTTGTGCTCACGAAGGTCAAGTTGGAGTCGCTCCAATTTGAGCAGATAGCTAAAGCACCTACATTATCGTCGGTGATTCCGATCTACTGCCGGGTGAAGCAGGTAAAGTTGTCGAGATTTATATGACTGCGCTGTTTAAAAAATCAGGATTTAATTTTAAATAAGTACTTGCAGGCAAAAAGAATATTACGGCTACTTGATAGTGAGACAAAAGCATTATCGATGCGTTTACCCGACTCAGCACCACAACTATCCGAATCTACAATACATCATCGAGATACAATTCTTGCTAAAATTCGCAAAAAAACTTCGCGAGTAAACGCTGGGGGTATTGACAATCAAGCGCTAGTAGATGCAGCTTCGCATCGATGGATTGACAAACAGCTTTTAGAGAAATTGCAAGGCGTGTGGAATACAGATAAATCAGCGCAAGTCAAAGCTCTTCACCCTCACGATTTGTATCCAACTGCCGTGAGTGAGATTGTCTTGACAAAGCTCTTAAACTCTCTTCTGGAATCAATAAGGACATGCTCTACGGACACTACGGAGCCACGAAATGCGTCGCAAGTGGAAGGTCTTATGCGCCTCGTTCGACTTGTCGACTCAATTGCACTTTCGGGGGGGCGAACTTACCGTAGCATCGTCGCTTCACATTAATTAGTGCTATAATTTGCGCTCAAATGAGTTTTTCTAGACATAATACCCATTTTGAAGTTGCACATGCATCAGATGTTTTCAAGAACGTTCCAGTACTCTAAATTTCCATCAAAGGTATAAATAACATGAAATTTATATGGTGATATCTTATAGAATGACAAAATTTAAGTTTAGAAACGTCAAAAATCGCTAACGCATTAATGTTGCCATTTTCATCAATGATCTGAGCTCATGACACGACAGCGTGGTAGAAGCTCATTCGATTAGTGATGAGCAGTCAAGACGTTGGACAATAAACGCGTTTCTACCACCTAAAAAAAACTTTACAAGAACTTTTTTCGAGCGTAAGAAAATACCTTTTTCTGTAGAACTAAATAAACTTGTTAAAACCGATATGCAACATTTGTGTAAAATTAATACTTAATCCAACAAAGAAGTGCATCGAATTACTCTTCTTACCGCTTCACGTGCAGCATCTTACGCCTCTTTTCGTCCGCACCCGGAGCGATCACCTTTTTATTCGAAACGTGTTTAATTTCCTGAGCATTGCTTAGTGCAAGTTAACAAGTGCGCGCCAGTCAATGGATGGGCTACACGCCCGGCCGGTCAGCAGTATGCGACGCCATCGACGGACGAAGCAAAACTTTGTAGATAGATATCAGCGATCATTTGATTCTCACGCTTCATTTTGCACACTAAATAATCGACAAGTTCATCAATACTTGGACTGTTGGCCTGTGAGACGGCGAAATTCGTGCAATGAGTCAGTCTACAATACCAGAAAGAAAAGCTTATTGATGCGACAAAATCACAGAAAATTAGAGCAGATCGTATATATCTCTAGGCTAGACAGGCGATTCAGAAGATTTAGAAGCTGGGTGGTCTATATATCTGCTGTTTGGATTGGAATAATCATGATGCCGTTGCTTGGAGTCGACGCACTGACGCAGCATACACAAGTCATTGCACGTTGTTTAAGTTGGATGAACAACACTTGTCCGTTTTCAACTTTGGAGCCTGTGGAGTTTAATGGACTTAATTTAACCCAACAGACAGTGTGCAAGGTACTTATCATGTCGTTTTGGACTCTATATCTGATGATTTCATCGACATTAATATATCCTTTTTTCTACAGGCAGACTTATCGGTTGCTGTGATGCAAATTGACTGGGAATCGCCTGCTGGAGGTCGTGGAGCAGTAGAAAGCATGCTTGTGAATGGTGTCGAGATGCTTCAGGCCCCGGTACATCCATCTCGAGCGTATTTGGTAGCAAATTATCCGCATTGCAATGATATGTTCAATATTTTTTCGCCTTGGGGCAATGGAAATATTGGTCCGGACGGACGAAAGTCCATAATTTCAGAAATTACTAGTGACGAACTGCCGATTTCGATTCAATTTGAATGGAAAGGTCCTCATGAAGTTCATCCTGTGTGCTCCATGGTTGGCGTTTCAATTGCTGGTTACGCAGAAATAAATATTTACCTTGAAGCACAAGATAATTCAGGTAGACTATCGGTATCTTGCTCAATACATTCGATACACTTAGATGCTGACCTTTTTGTTGTCGTGTATAGATTGTCCTGGATGGAGCAGTGCTTCATTAACGGCTTGTTCTGGAAATGGCAAGTGCGGCTGTGCTGCGAATGACTATACTCCACGAGCATGCTCATGCGTGTACGTAAGATTTCCCGATTAGGTCATAGTAACATAAGCAAAAAATGACATTTTTGCAACTTGTTCTTGCGGTCATATAGCGATGGGTACGCCGCTCCTGATTGCCAAGATTGCGCAAGCGGCTTCTTTGGCGACTTCTGTAAACAAAATTGCGAGCCGTGTCTTAACGACGGGCGGTGTGATTCGGGTCTGACAGGCACAGGCAAATGCAATTGCTTGGAAGGGTTTGACCCGAATACTCGATGTGCAACTTGCTTGCCTGGTTACTTTGGCGATAGGTGTAAACGCTGCCCAGACTGCAATTTTCCTCATGGTAATTGTGATGATGGCGTGATGGGAAGTGGTCGATGTTCATGTGCTGTAGGCTTTGATGCTGATAACAACTGTATGGAATGTATGAGCTCTTTTTTTGGACCGACTTGCCAGCCTTGTGATCCATGCGATGGTGGCGAATGCAATTATGGGTTACTAGGCGATGGGAAATGTGTGTGCTCTGAAGGATTTTCATCGGAATCGCGGTGTCTCGAGTGTCAGAATGGCTTTTATGGCCCATCATGCACACCATGCCGCACATGTAATGAACACGGCCGCTGTAATGATACAAGCTCCGGTGATGGAATGTGTATCTGTGACGAAGGATATACGTCTGAGAGTCGCTGTTCCCTGTGTGACGACGGATGGGACTTTAATCCCATATCCATGTCGTGCCAGTGTGCACCGCAGCACTTTGGTACTCACTGCCGGTCGTGTCCAATCTGTGCCCCTCACGGACATTGCAACTCAGGAGTTGATGGCGATGGACGATGCATTTGTGACATTGGATGGTCCGACTCAAACAACTGTGTCGGCTGTATGAGTGGATATTATGGCGAGACTTGCGTATCTTGTCGGAAATGTGGTGAAGGACGCTGTGACGATGGACTGCGGGGCTCAGGCAATTGCAATTGTCACCATGGCTGGGATTCTCGCACTGACTGCTACGACTGCGAGGAAGGTTTTTTTGGCGAAGACTGCACACCGTGTCCACATGACTGCGGTCATGGAATTTGTTCTAGCGGATTAAACGGAACTGGACAGTGCTTGTGTCACGAAGGTTGGAAACTTGAAGGAAAGCATATGTGTATTACTTGCGCAGATGGATATATTGGACCAACATGTCAGCTATGTCCGGGATTCTTGGAAAGTGAAATGGCTTGCAGTGGTCATGGTCAATGTGTCATGTCAGGTACTGAGGCTGTATGCGAATGTGATGCACGTTATGGTGGTGATAGCTGTGAGTCGTACGATTTTCCATTCGCTATGGTGGCAATTCTAGGCACGATTGCACTATCAACACTAGGTTTTTGCATGTGTACTATGCGTCGTTTAGCTCGCCAGCCGCATGTGTTGCATGGAGCTTTCCTCGATCGAGGACATAGTTTTTCGCAATCTGAGTACGTTGAGATTTCCGACATGGCAGATCTTGAATACTTTGTTTCCAATGACAGCCGCGACTGGCTTATCCCTTTCGATACACTTTCTCTGCAGCGCGAGGTCGGTAACGGGACATCCGGTCAAGTGTTTCGAAGTTTGTTGCATAGTGGTGGAGGAAGCTCGGTTGTCGCTGTAAAACGCTTGTATAGTCCCGTAACAGGCCAAGAATACTTTCAAAGCTTCTTTCGACGCGAAGTTAGTATATTAAGTCGCTTGCATCACCCAAATGTCGTGCGATTCTACGGTGTAAGCTATTACAATCGCGTGCTGTACATCGTGACAGATTTTTGCCCAAAATCGCTCAGTGGGTTGATCGAAAATCCAGCGGCTAAAGGGCCTCTCGAGAAGAGAATATTCATGAAAGTGATCAGCCAAATCGTAAGCGGTATGGGATTTCTACACAGCCGAAACGTGGTACATCGCGACTTAAAGCCAGCCAACGTGCTCATTTCAGAGACAGATGATGTTAATATTTGCGACTTTGGTCTTTCGCGGCTGATTGAGCCCGATGCCACGACGATGACTGCGGAAGTTGGTACGCCAAGTTATATGGCTCCCGAAATGGCCACAATGGGCGGCATTCAATGCTCTACAAAGGGCGATGTGTATTCCTTTGCTATATTATTATACTCCACCTGGTCCCGAAGTAAGCCCTATGGTGACCAAGGCATGAACCCATTTCAATTGGTATGTTCGATATTCTATGCGTAAATTGTCAGGCCAAACACTCATGACATTGTTGTGACTGATGTCTGCACAGATGACAGCAGTGGTAAACGGACTTCGTCCAGTAATTCCGATTAATTGCCCGCCTGCACTAGCTCGCTTAATGCGATCATGCTGGCATCAGAATCCAGATGTCCGTCCCTCGTTTCCAGAGATAAGCCTGATATTGAAGGATCAGTCGTTGCTTTCCATGTACTCCGAGGAAGAAGTGCATTACTATCCGCGTTCTCCAGCACATGTGCAGACTGTGTCTCCATCTTCAACAATGTCTCCAATTTTCGCCTTATCTGGCCACGATCGCGGCATAAAGGAAAGTGTCAACTCATTCTCATCACCTCATCATGACGGCAACGGCGGAGTTGGCACTTACCATGAAACAGAATTAGAAGCAAAAAGTATCTCACCTCGGGAAAACGATTGCCTCTTAGCCGAAGAAAAGCAGCCACGATAGAATCATATAACGAATAATAGACTTGTGAAACAACATATATCTTCGCATGACAAGTGTGTTGGCATATTAACGAAACAAACGCCGTAGATTACGACCACGTGCGAGTGGCCGGCGTTTATAGTATTTGCGATGTGCTTCACGAAGATAACGGGGAGGAATCGGCCCAGTGTCGCCATTTATTTCCATCATCCGTCGTGCTTCAGCAGTGATCTCACCCACAAAGACCTTTGCCATACCAGCCATGACAATTGCCATGACATTAGTGACGCCAGGAACCCTCTTGTCCGTAGATGAGCATTCAAGAATTGCCTGCGCCATACACTACATCACACAGTCATATTTATAATCTGACTGTCAAGTACGTTTCTCTTCTAAACTTACTCTCTTGATAGCACTGCGCTCGAAATGTGAACGGCGAAAGTGTTCGTGACGTCTAGCTTCGGCATCTGGAAGATTCTGCACGAGGCGCAGAATAGATGCGCTATTGGACTTCTTCTCCTTGTCCTCGTCACTTACCATTTCATTGTCTTCGATATCTTTGTCGTCATCTTCATCAGCTGTACTCTCCTGTGGATCATCATCCGAAACGTCGCCATTCTGCGCGACTACGACGTTCTCATCCTCGTCAGTTGTTTCAAGTGCATTAAGCATCGTGTTTGTTGTAGATTAAATGTGGATTAACGTGAATAAGGAATTTTCCTGTCATACGGACTATTACAGTTTGAAAGATCGCTATTCAAGTCAAAACAGCTCAAGGTCAGTATATGCGAGCATTTAAACGGGTATGTTAAATGTCATCAACTCAAATCATTAGAAACATGTTTTTGCGCTATGTTAGATTTCTTCTGCATTTCTTTGATGTTACTATCTCTATATTAACAATAGACAAGAAGATCGTGCTAACATCGTGGGAAAGATTGGCTAGTTAGTTATAGTAGAGAGACAAGATTGCTTCTAGCGACAGAAAAGGAAACAAGCGATCATCATTCTGAGGCTAAAAAACGTGGCCGTCTACATTATGGGATGGGCCTACAGCAAAAACAAGCTTTGCGAACGCTGTATAGGGTTCGCACCATTAAAGAAAGCAACCGGGTGGATATCTCAAATTCAAATGATGACGCGTCTAAGATCCGATTAAAGATTACGAAAACAACATTTGACGACTGCCGCAACTAAAAAATTAAATTTTACAAAGACAAGTCTCATTCCTGACAGACTGTACCCTATCATACGCAACATACTTCGAATTTGAAGATGTGATAGATATGCCGTACCCACTTTCTGCTATATGTTTTACGCATCTGATGTGTTTACAAACCATTGTGTAAATGGTCTCGTCGGATTGGACTGACTTAGCCGGCTTTGTTCATCACGCATGAGTCAATGAATGTTGCTAATTACCAGTTTAAACAATGCATTTTGTGCTTGAGGGGTTTGCTACACAGCTCAAAAATGCATGTTGGATAATTTATCAGATAGGAAAAGCTATACTTCAATCTTGACAGCCCTGATCGACGCTGCAACACGTTCAGCAAGTCGATCGAGACGATCCATGCTTTAGAAAAATGGTTGTGGTAGCATAGAACCAAGTTAATTTCTGCAGATGCGTTAAGGACGAATCAATCATCATACTAAAAGGACAAAAAAAGAGGGCAACAGCACGCTTCAAGATAAACAGACTCGATCGATAAGAAAGTTGGCGAGCGAGATTGATTGACCACATGAAATCAATGACGAAACGTATGCGAGGCATACTGATGCCATTGTTGGGGGTCGCCAACGATTGACATGTATCAAAGCGAGGATGCGCATTAATATATTTAGTACATACATGACTCTGAGTGAGCCCGTAGAATGTAAAGCACGTTGGACTCAGGCGCAGACAGGTACAGCAGAATTGAAAGCTGACAGGCACGTTATTTATGTTTACTGACACGATAGTCAGGATGTCATCGTTTGTTGTAATGGGCGCTGTTCACAACAGTCCCTCAAACACAACACACACGCTTGTGTGACGAGGAAACGATTCTCTACGTGAAGGGAGAAGAGTAGTCCCAACTTGAAGGATGATGGACGACAAGAGGGATTAGAGTAATTTTGCAGCTGAATCAAATGAGTTAGTGATTTTTAAAGGTACACACAAAACGCCTCAAAGGTTTCTAAAGTTTTACTGATGAAACCTAACGTTTTATGAATATGACATATATAATCAGATTGAACTTCAGCTTGAATTAAATCAAGTTTCTGGGATATGGAGCTTGAACTGAAGCAGCTTAACTTTATACTTTTGTGGACTTAGCAGAAGAGACTGGTTTATCTTTCCCACTCTGAAAGCCAACGACACGTTGGTCTTGTTTCAATTAGGAGCCAGCATTCTGTATCCCACAAAATATGTGTAACTGACAAGAAGAGGTCACATATGCATGTAGGAGCACTTGACTATATTTCTTTTGTTTTAGATTGTTACTATACATGCAAAAGATATGTCTATATGCTTTCATTCAATGGCTAAGGCAGCGAACCGTGCAGAAACATAGCAAATGTATGAAAAGAAGTGAAAATATGCAATCTTAGTATTGAGAAGTGAACGCTTCCATGACTTCGGAAGCAGGCGAGCGTTAAAACACCAAGCATTTGTTGCTGTTTATCGGGAACAAGTGGCACGCAATAGTCAAGTATACGTTGATATGTGACCATACGGCAAATCCGCACGCCGAAATTGTAAGAACTTAACGACTGGAAAATTTGGAATGGAGTTTGGCGCATGGGATTAAATATAATGTTACGCCACCGCATGGATGCATTAATTGAAAATGTGGTGGATGAAACGGGTCTGAACACGAATGCAAGACGTGCATTACAGAGAAAAATCATCATATGACATTGGGAGCGATTAAGTTGTTAAGACTATAAGACAGGTTCATTGTAGCAAGTGATGTAGACTGCTTAGCGTAGACTTAAAACATTTCTGTTTCAATTTGCTCTATAAGGACTGACACAAGCTGTATGAGCCCAAACGCCTCAAATGCAAATTAAACTTTCACGGATCACATCTACTCTGTGTGAGTTTATAGCTGGTATAGAGTTGAAGAAATAGGATACGGGATCACATCGGTGCTTTGTAGCCAGAAGTTGCGAAGCGCTATCATTTGAGTGATTGAAAGTATGCAAGAATGAAATTGCTGGTCGAGATGCGCTGATGCTGGATTGCGGGGCTAGGGTGTTTAAATTGACTTAGAAGCAAAAAGTTACTTGTGAAGCAAAGTCTACGCAACTAATCTTAACAGCGATCGCAACTGAATGTGTCTTCGCCGTCATCCAAAGTCAATTTGATGGGCACATTGGCCGCAAGAGAAGTGCATTTTAGAATTTGTTTCCTGCTCGGGAGTTGGCGCCATAATGTAAAATAACGTGGTCGAAGCTTATTTGACGTTATTCGACGCGAAGGGAATGCTTCGTGCTGAGCAAGAGAAATGATAATGCATTAAGGCATGGAAACAGTTTTTTTGCCACGGCACATTGAGAAGGTGGCCATGACGGTCGTCGAAGTGAGAATGGTATCGCAGTAATGATAAACACTCTGGTATGATAAGTGATCTGACGAGAGCTACAACAAGGGTGGGGAGTGATCAAGCCAATTCAAGGCAAGTGTATCTTTATCATAGCGTTTGATTTGACGATATCATCGATCAAAATTTAGGACAACTTAGCAAATCGGCAGTTTATAAAACTGTGATGGGTCAGTTGAGCACTTTGAATGAGTGAATAGCGCTAAAACATCTCAAAGTATTACAATCTTGCTTCTTTAAGTAGAAAATATTTCGCAATTGGCAGCAACTCAATTATTTCGGCGCTGGCTCTACCCTGTCAACTCTTGGCACAGGTACCCGCATCACACTGACGGGCATGCAACATGTGCCTCGGCAAGACAGCAATTTTAGTCGATTTGGCTCTAAGTTATGATACAGTACTAGACTCCATAAGGTGTGACGCAATTTTATGATCTTTATCTGGTAGCAACATGCGTGAAAGGTCTCTTATGACGTAATATGTAAAACGAAATGTTGGATCCTTAAGCAAGCTGTAGCTCCCTCAATACAAGCTTTGCAAGCGTATTTAGCGAAAGGCACATTCATGATGAATGATGAGCATAGCTTATCCTACGGCACATTCATGATGAATGGTGAGCATAGCTTATCCTACGGTACCATTCGTTGCAAGTCCATGACTTTGCCTTCCTGTAATTATGTGCAAACGTTCTTTTTGCTAACTAATCTAGCTCAATGAAAGCGTCTAAAAGGGGGGTTGTAGAGGTTGAGAAATCCCGAATTTTACGGTCACGTTTATTTGCGGCTGGTAATCTCTCCCGCCACCTGTGAAGCTTCACTTGCCCGCTCGGTGGACGAGCTGCGTGATAGTAAAGACTCAGCAGGTCTGTTACCTCATGATAAAAGAGGCTCATTCATATAACCATGGTGTCTGGCCCTTTGCTTTGCACCTTAAATTGCTTTTCAGCTGCACCAACTCTTCACCAGCTTACAGCACACCTTTTTGTATACCATGACATAAAATCGTTTATTCCTGATTTAGCAAGCATTCACTTTGAAAAACGCTATCAACTATCATTTTTTCCTTGCGAGACTTTGATTCACTGCCGCTTTTGTCTTCCTTTTGCTGCGCTGGAGTGCAGTGCATCAATACAAATTTGCAGCCCTTCGTACTTTGATAGCTTCTACGCTGTCGAAGATCTAAAAGTTTATAGTATTGTTTCACAAAAACTTCACCAATTTTGCAAGTATTCCAGTCGCAACACGCACAAATACTGCATTCGTATTTGACATCTTAAATGCTCCAATAATTGCAAACTGTAATTGACAGACTAGAGGCAAACTTTTCTCAATGACACGAGACTTTCAGCGCCATGTTAACAAGCAGCGGTTCTGAGCTGTGAGCCGTAACTCTCTTGAAGAGAGTATCCACTATATGCTTTACATATCTTCGATCTCAATATCTACGCGTCGCAATATATCACAGATAAGTTTCAGAAGACCGCCTTGTGCTCAACATTTCCCAGAAGGAATTCGTCTAACGACCCTGCGCGGGATTCTAAGCCTTCGTACCCCTTAGCCAGTAGGGAAGGACCGATAAAGTGTTAGGGTGTTTGTACCCTCATCTTCGAGTCCATGGAGCTGCTCGGCACCCATTAGGTCTCTCTTTCCTCCCTAGCACGAAGAAGATCATTGCTTTTTATGCGCTATAATGCCTCCAATTTACCCGATCGGTTCTCGCGGCACACAATTTGTTTTCGCATTTAATGCAAGTCTATCCGCTTCCCTGAAAGGAAGGATAAACGTAGAGTTTCACAGTTCGAGCCACACCAATTCCAACCCTTCCATCAATATGGTGGCTGTTACCACCTCTGGAGGAGTGTCTGTCGCAGACGCGATTTTTAAATCAGCAGATTTTGGACAAAGTCTGCTTGCTCTCGCTTCCCACGTCGGATGGATGAGAACTTGGCACGCACACATTTCGTCTGATAAAGAGGTACATCTACCCGAAAATGGTTGTGGATCTAGCAGACTATGTCATGGATCTGCAGGCTTTTGAGACCCTCGTTCAGAGGCGGTCATAGCTACCATCTGTGTAATATCTCCGAATAAATACGGCTCGCATTAAGTCATTCCGCGTTCACCCCATCTACTCAAAGTAAGCGTATATGTCACTTCAAATATCCCGCATTCAAAATGCGATTTTAGCAGAAACACTGCACCCAAATACCCATTCTTTATGTTGTCACAGTGATTAAAGACTCCTAGCGCGACGCACTGTTGCTTCATCTGGAGCATTACCAGATTTATGGTCAGAATCCTTATTTATCCAGAAAATGAGATTATACATGTAGCTGCTATCAAAAAGCTGGACGCCCAACGTGAGCGAATGTATGGAGAGCATTATTAGCACCGCCGCTGACCCTCGGTTGGAATCTTGTTGGTGTCTCACCCGCGCAATTTCACAACTAGAAAACATCTCCAAGAAGATATTTTTGCCTTTAGTCCCTGGATGCCATTTTTTTAGTTTCTCCGGACTAACAAGAGACCGAGCATCACTAAGCGTGTCTTGTTTCCCCCAAGACAGTTTATTGAGCAGCTTGTGTTTCACCATTACAGAAGATTAGGTCTTTTCACGCTATGCCTGTCAGAATGACAACTAGTGCAATTTATTTGCCGTAAACCCTGTTCAAAGGTCCGCGTGTTTTTGCAACGGGACACCTCATTACACACACTCTTGTGCCAAGATAAATTTACTTTGAGGCTTGGTTTTTTTCCTGAAGCTGTCGTAAGCGCCCCTTTACCACAACGTGTGTGGATCTGTTGATGAAATGAACACTGAATATATTATAGGTGGTTTTATCATAATTCTAATCTTAAGTAAAAATTAAAATCAATGTCAACATCTGCTAATTTGCTCTGTGTGCATTATGTAAGTCAGAAACCAAGTATGTGCCACACAAACTGTGTTATTGGCCTACCTCCCCTTTTCACCACTCCCTACACAAAATGGGACTTAAAATAGCAGGTACCTGAATGAAGAACTTGTACCATTGAGCCCAAGGGCGGCGCAAGAGACGTCGGATTGAACCAACGAGAGACGCCGATGCGAGAGGCATTGGTTTGAAAAAAACGCAGAACGGCTCCTCCTGTTCGACATTGCCAGTGGCCCGTGTCACACGCAAGAAATATGCTTTGCAATCACTGTCAAATGACGACGTGTCGCAAATTTCACACCGTCCGAAAACTAGCGCTGGTATGAAGATCGAATTTGCAGAGCTTGAGGAGTCCCTTGAATTGATCAGGCAATTTCCTTCGAAACACTTTTTAATGAATCTGATGGAGGCCGTTGAATCATTTGTTTGCATTATCCAACACTGGAATCGATGGCTGTTGCGTCATCGAGGCGCACGCAATCCGTACCATTATATACGTGGAATACCATGGGTACGAAAACGGCCAGCGGAGTCGCCCAACGATATCGACTGAGCATTCTGGGAGTGACCGAGTCGATTGCGATTAAGAAGTATCGCAAATCCGACAAACAAATCGTTATCAGGCGATCGCCAAGGTGCGCGACATGCGTTTTCGATACGCGAAACTCGTATACAAAAAACAAGTCGAAGCAGATATTATCTCACGTCGTGGAGACATGGTAGTGAATCCACCAGCGGCGTCGCATGTAACGAAATCGAAACGTGACTACACGAAAGTTTCGAAGGACTTGAGTTCGCATGTAAATAATCCAATTCATGCCTGCGGCGACTATCAAAAGATCGGTTGTACGGTAAATTCCCAAGGCTTTCTACCACCTGCATCGTCACTGCATTCGTTGTCGTCGACTCCAATGGTTGGTATTCAGGCGTTGAGACAAGGGGCCTCGTTCGTTTCGGCTTCTTGTGAAGCCAGTGGGGATTCACAACCTTTTACTTTTAGACTACGTCACGGCATTCAGCAAGGAGTTGCGAATGTGGTTTTTTCGAGCTATTCGAATCCGGATAGCCGAGCCATTTCACATACACGTGCAGACGTAACAATACGTCTAGACGAGGTTTTAGCATGCGACCGCGATCGCAAAGATGGGTCATCAAATGTCGAAGGCGACGAAATCAATATGAGCTGGTGTTTGTCATACGGAGATGAACGTTCACGCAGCAAAGTCCGCTGGAGGTGATTGGCTCCAAGCGGAGAATTAACGCCTTCATGACGAAGTATATCAACTTTAGAGTGCTGTGGCACAGATTAGACTGTTGGATTTTAACGACGTGTTCATCCGCGCTCGCAATTTTCGTCTCCGGTCTACGATCAACCTCGTTCTCAGAATCCGTTCGATAAGTGGAATCGACAATGTATGGCTTGGGCAAGCCGACGCAAAATGGTGGATGGATACGGAATTAGATTCCAATGGATATGCATTTCCGGCACAATTTTAGGCATCGATATATCGGGGAAGGGGCTTAAAAGATCCTAGGCTGGAGACGGCAGCGTCAGCCATGTTTTTTATACTGACTAGTACATAAACACCTTCTTCGAATACTTCTACAACGCGATTTGCATTTAGTTTGATTATCAGTCTCTTGATGGTCTTTGATGGTCATCTCTGGAACAGGGGTGGATGAAATATAGTAGATCTCCCCACAGTGCGCCAACGTTTTGTGTTCGCAAACCCAACCGCAAGTAGCGCATTTTACACGCATAAAACAAGCTGAACGCTAACATTTTGCCCGCACAGATCCCTCTTCCTTGCAAGAATATCATTATCAACAAGATGACTGGCTCAAAGCGCTTCAGCGTTGTTTATCTAGTAGATGGCTACTATCACGTTCCAACGGATCCTACATCGATTCCTAATACGGCAGTCAGCAAAAATATGTGCGTGGCTGGTAATGTCACAAGGACTCTCCAAGGCGCTAGCGACGTTTAACCTTCTCGTTAGGCATTTATTCCGTCCATTGCGATACTTCGCGTCGACGTATTTGACGACACTTTAGTCCATTCAAAACTCAAAACAGGTCGATCTATCGATCAAGTTCATCTCAACTCTAACACCTGTAACTGGCGTTGGCGTGTATCACGGAACTTCAGCTCCTTGTCGACATCGATAATTTTTTTTGCGCCGAAGGAGTACCAGCTTTGGATTTTTCTGTCGCCGACTACGGTGTTCGGGCAGACACAGAAAAGATCAAAGCGATCTCTGAATGGCCGACACAAACTATGCAGCCGGGCAGCCGTAGCTCTTTGCTTGGAGAAAGCTAAGCTAAGGTCACCGACCTTACGTACCAGCACGAGTGTAGCGGATCGCAATTCGCTACCTCCAAGAGTATTCCAAAACCTTAACCAAGGCAGATACAAACTTCCGTTAAAACTCGAAAATGCATTTATCTGTTTTACTTGCGACAGATCCGCCTATATCCAAACCCTAGTTTTTCCTCATTAAATAGTAAAACCTATTCGATATGATTAACTAGTGGTAGTCGCGCCACGTTGTGGCTTCTTGTTACGATGTAGTCACACCATTGAGTGATTACACCGACTTGTGTAATCACACCTTTGTACGATCACACCATCTTGTGTGACCCACCCATTCATAGAAGGATACGTGTAACCCTGTTACACTCAGGGTACGTGTAAGCCCGTTACAAACCAACAGAAGGATCCGAGAAAATGGTTGAGCTTGTTATCGGACTTGTTAAAGAAAGATCAAGAGATGTTATAAACAAATGTTTGTGCAGTCGCTTTCGACAATTTCAAGCATAGGTTGTATGCAGCGCCAATTTTGACATTACCAAATGACGATCTACCTTTCAGTGTCGAGTGCGACGTCTAGAACTTTGCGATTGGATGTTCATTGCTGCAGCAAGATGTTAAAGGACAGGAACTTGTCCTGTCGTATCAGTCGAGGCAGCAAGAGGCAGCTAAACGGAATTACTCCGCTCGCGACAAAGAATTGTTAGCAATGAGATATGATTTGGTAAGTTTGGAGTTCACCTCTTGCGTTTCAAGCTATTAGTCGTTTATACCAAAGTTGCGTACAGGGACAAAAACTCCACATTTGTCACAACGAAAGGCGCGATAGTTGTCATTCTTCGCGGATTACAACTTTACAGTGGCCTGAAAGCCAGGCAAATTGAATGATTCGGTGGACACCTTTCTCTGCATCCCAAAAATGTATTATCCGTGATTTCGCAAGATGCTTCCAGCGTCATCGACATAATACGACAAGCGTATCAAAAGATTTAGCTAGAACCGAGTATGGCTGGAGCGCTTAAACCATGTAACGGCTAGGAGTTGGATAAGCTTGAGACCAAGCACTTCTATCCCATTCAAGCATCAGTGAGTCATGAGCTCACCTCATCGAGAAAACAAAGTCTTTTTGGTGCGGGCAAAGCTTCGATCGCTTGTGGGCAGGACATGAAATTGTCCGAAGTAGATATCCATGGTATCTCAAGCAGATCTTGGAAGGGATATGGGGTTTTAACCGCAGCTCACAGGATAAGAAAGCGATGAGGGATTGCTTATTAAAATCTTTGGAGTCTATCTCTGTTGAGATGGAAAGAACGTTGGTCCGTCGTAGTCTGTAGCGTATATATATAGCGAGTCGGTAAGGAACAGCTGTGAACTTTCATCTCCTGAGACAAGGTGGATGAGCTTTGTTGTCTCACTCTAACAACTTTAAGCCAGTGAGGCTAAAGCGTCACCTAAAAAAGCAAGTTGAAGAGAAAGATATGAAGATACGAGAAACAGACCATTCTTAGCACGGTTTGACAAAACGACTGATTCAGAACTACCGTGCGACGGGCTCACAACGGGGGGCAGTGAAGCTCCGCTTGTGACTAGATAGGGTTTTCACTCGTGAATGAAGTGACCGGGAATGTTTAGGGATAATATGTCACCTCATTACCTCCGTCGGTAGCCCACGCGAAAATGGATAAATTGCTTCTCTGCAATACGTGCAAGTAATTTCAAAACAACAAGGTCGCCTATTTAGACAGTTGGTACTGAAGAGGGAATTGGTTTCCTCATTTTCCATGCATCTATCGTTGAGGTCACCTGCAGAGCACTGAATGCGACGAGTGAGGCAACTATCCTCCACGATCTTACGATTTTTTCTATCGTGTGTTGGAAGAATATCACGACGTGATTGCAATAGATCCACCCCGTGTAAAATCCTAAAATAGGAGCGCGTCGCGAAAGAGACTTGGTTTTAGTAACGTAATATTGCGTCACTTAACCAAAACAGCGCTGTTGCGTCATTAATGTTCTCTCACCCTGCAAAACATGAAGCAAATTTGGTGAAAAAAATGTAAAATTCCATATTCGACGCCGGCTTACTATGTTAAAAATGCCACATGCCGACTTAAAAAAGGATGTGCTGCGTAACGGCATTGCAGCGGCACATGGTTCAGAGTCCGCTACCTGGTTGACAATATTATCAAGTGCTCATGAAATGCAGCCATATCCTTTCGCTGTGTGTAGCCCTAGCGGGATACTTAGGGTGTGGCAGATTATGCCGAGGATTATCGTGTGTCTCAACGACGTTTGTTCGTCTGGAGACGCATGATTTGAAGCCAGATTATGGCAATCAAGAATTTGAATATGACAATATATTCGTCTAATGCTGGGCAGAGCGCATGGATTCGGATGTAAAGAATTACATTCAACACTTGCGACCCGTGCTTAAATGTATGCGCTTTTTATATTCTATTTGCCAATATCGATAGTGTGTGTGTGGTGTCGATGAGATCCCCATTTTGAGATGTTTAACTAGGAAGGATGACCTGCTGGCAGATGCCACGAAGATCACTGCCATGATAATTGTCCACTTCTTTTATTCCAAATAAACTTAAAAAAGCAGCTTAGTCTAACCAGTTTCATGCACAATGACAGTTCCGATTATAGACATGACACGACAACTCTCTTCACTATGAACAAATGTCATATGATTATGATTATGGACTTCGGCGTTAAGAGACGGTCTTCCATTATGAGTAAAACCTCGCATGCGTCCCGCAACTTTGCCTTTTTAAAACCTAGACAGTCGTCTCACGTTGATAGTAGCGCTTTTGACTCGGAAGTAGACTGCGCTATACTCAAAGCCGGTAACAATCATATGATTATTCGATGATTATGGGGTATGACGTAAGTAGCATCGATAAGTCAGTGAAAGAAGGCCTGCTCTGGCTCTTTCGATCCAGTTTGACAAATTCGCGTCGCCTGGAACTCCTCATGCTTTGCGATTGACTGCGCTCTACCTTAAGCAGATTGGTAAAGGGTATGAACGCGTTTTCGAGTTAATAACTCGCCAGTTTAATCAGAGCAGAACTTCCCAGTCTACTAGAAGAAAGTGTCCACAACAACGTTTACCGAGTTCAGAGTACCCCTGTCTGGCTCTTTATCGTTTGTGATCTATGCCGATCATGTGTCGTTGCACACACTGATAACGTCCTCACATATCTCGTAGATAATGGCAAGAGGATTATCCAATTGAGCCAAGTCTACCTTTCAGATAACCTTCGGACTAGTCATTATAGATCGCGGATTGTGGATGCACTTTCGTATCGCTCCAACCATGAATTGTCGTATATCACGATGATGACTCATTATTGGATGAGGCATACATGTTGCGTTGGGTCAGATGCAAAGTGTGGCGCCCAAAAAATATTGTAGTAAGCGATAAGTTTGCGAAATCCGATATTGCTTTATTAGAATGCGCGGCTGCACCCCTTACTGATATTCCTTTTCCCACGCAGGCGTGAAATGTTGTCTGTCATGAACAGAATCTGAAGGAGGAACATGATACTCTCTTAAGCTGTATAGCATGAGCTATTCTAGGTAGCCCAAAACGTAAAAGTGGGTAAGCACATATGTGCGGTCGTGTAAAATGTGTCAGTGGGTTGAGTCCTCTCCTCATGCAGCGGCACCTTTGGCCATCCTGCTGGCTTCAGCAATATGCTGGCTGCTCTGTCAACTTTGGTTACAAAAAACGGGTCCGGGATCAACGGAACAGGAGCCTTACTAGACTGCTGATTTTAGCGACAATATGGCCGGTGAGGATACAGCCAAGCTGTTTCTCGTCGACGTGTTTTGCTGACATGACTAACTAGAACCATGGTGACAGATCGAGATCCACTTTACAGCAAACTTTTGACAAGCTTTGTTCAAGCTATTAACAGTTTATCAGCGGCTGATAATTTGTGAACATATGCTCAGATGGAACACGTAAATTTGCAGAAAATTATAACTCGAGGCACTTGCAAGGAGAGACCGCGGCACTGAAGTGAGTTGATCCCACACATTAAGTCTGTGATGGATAACACAACCATCCCTCAACATGATTTACTCCATTTTACATAAATGGCATGGTCAACTTCAAGTGATCTTGAGATCAAGAAGTGGTCTTGGTCTTGGTGTTGATTAACATCGACTTGCTGATATCAGACCGGCTACATTTCGTAGGAAAAGCAGTAATTTTATCTCAATGAGATTAAGCGTGCAAGCTTATCCAGTTTTCTATGTGGGCTTATTGAACCCATGAAACATATCGGTCTTGTAAAGCCATATAACATATCGGTCTTATTCAAGCCATAAAACATTTCCGCTTTAACGAGCCAGTTGGAAGTATATAGCTCCGTCGCACGGATCGACTTCGTTATCATCCCTTATAGCTGAGCTACCCTCTGCATCAAATTAGGGACGTCATTATGAGCTGCTGATTATTTCCCAGGTCACCTCAGCCCTCAGATGTGCATCGTGCTTTGAGGACAGTGGAAGTGCCTTTACAGCCGAGAGGGATCTTGAGTGACAGTCACAAGCTTTGTTAAATAGGCATAGTGCGGCGTGGCACGTTTGATGGCGGGTGGGTACACAAAGGCTGCTACCGAAGCTGAAGGCCTACCTGTAGTCTGATAACTCGTTGGCGTGGAGGTTCCAATTCGGCAATCGTTTTCTGGTGTGACCTGGCACACTTCATCCGGGTCGGGGAAGTGGTGCGATCGCCCGTCGTAGCGCGCCTCCCACATGTGGGAGGCGTCAACCTTGTAG